CATTTTTAATGATAAATTAACTTGAATTTGGCGGTTTAATCACTGGCCCGCGTTGCCGGCGGCGCCACTGAATGCGGCTTGCTGAAACCGCCAGACTTACCTACCAATCTAAATAGTTTGATCATCTGTGACATGTCTTGTTCTATGGTTTGTTGATTGGAGGGAGAGTTTACTCTTGATTGTTTACTAGTTTTAAGTGTTGGTTCAGAAATATAGAAAATGCGTTGTGCAGTTTACGGTTGCAATAGTGATACGAAAGTTAAAACTCCAAAAATAAAGTTTCATAGATTTCCAAAAGACAGTATTTTAGGCAAGCTATGGGAGAATGCTTGTTGTCGTACGGACACAATTAATGTTGCCTCCGCTAGAATATGCTCCCAGCATTTCAAAAATGAGGATTTTGAGAGAAATTTTCAATTTGAACTTTTAGGATACTTGCCAAAAGCAGGTTTTAAACTTAAGCTTGGTGCAGTTCCTTCCCTAAATTTGCCAGAGATCAAATCGCTAACAAAACAGCAGGTAGATTATAACGAAAGAGCTTCAAAGAAATTTGGAAAAATAGATGCACAGGACAATATCGTCCTTGCTCTAAACATAAGGTACGAAAATATAAATACATATTTTTATACTTGGCATAAAGCAATTGTAGACATACAGTCATTTCAATTCAATGAATCTATCGTGATTCGTGTAATAAATCTTGCACAAATTAACGCATCAAAAAAAGATCGTAAAAATAAAAATTATTGCTCTCATTTTTTGTTAAATTTTAAATCATACGTACCTACGTGATATTATAACTCTTTTCTACTAATAGGCCAAGCTATACAGGGTGATTCAAAATTGGCGTCATTCCTCTGGAGGTGTCTGGCGGTGTTTTAGGAGTACAGAAAAAATAGTAAAATCAATTAATTATTATTAACAATTGAGAAATTTGAAAAAAACTATATTAGAAAATCGGCAATAATGTTTTTCAAGGTAATCGGCCTAATTAACATTACGTAAATGCCTGTTGCTTCGTAATTATTTAAAAGGCCGGTAACCTTGGAATTATACAGAAAGTTACAATAAAATAGACAAGGATAAACCGTAAAATCAACAGTAGTCATTGTCATCAACCTTGACTTTTATTTCACCAGAGATGAGGGGTGTGTAATACTTGGAGCGTTGCTACTTCTCGTTATGCAAAATACCCGAATAAGAGGATGTTCTGGAATACTACATCTAATAGATATCGTCAATGATAGGTTCAGAAAATATGGCGGACTAGACGAAAATATTTCCATTGACGAGAGTATGATACCATACTACGGCAAACACTATGCCAAACGGTACATCAGAGGAAAACCCATTCGTTTCGGATTAAAATACTGGGCAATTTGTACAAGCTCTGGATACCTGGTGTCTTTTGAGATTTATACAAGAAAATCTCAAGATAATTCTGATAAACGAGGATTTGGGCTTGGAGGCGATATAGTGCTTAAATTACTAGAAAAATCGGAGATTTTACCTAATGGCTACAATATTTATTTTGACAATTATTTCACTAGTTTACATCTACTAGGACATTTGTCGCAAAACAAAATCTGTGCTACAGGAACTATACGAGAAAATCTAACAGGACACTGTCTGTTTCCTGAAAAGAAGTTTTGGAAATTGCAAGAGAAGGGTAGTTACCAATTTGTGGCCAAAGATGATACGCTCTTAGGCCAATAGAAGGACAATAAAATAGTAACTGGGGCTTCAAATTTTGAAAGCGAAGAAATTGTTTACACAACAAGATGATGTAGGATTTAGAAATCCAGAAAACATATTTTACAACCAAAATTAATTGCCAATTACAACAAAGGAATGGGTGGTGTTGACAAAATGGATAGCCTCATGCGCTTTACAGATCCAGAATACGGCAAAGAAAATGGTATTGGCCAATGTTTGGTTATTTGCTGGATGCTGGTTACTTATACCGACTCTACCCGAATAATCCCAGCTGTGCATCTTTACTGAGTTTCCGTTGTTTTATTGCTCTTGGTTTCTTGAACAAACATGAAAAAATGCTATCAAGAGGAAGGACAACTTTAGCTCCTGAGAATCCTTCTCAATTTGACAATGTGGGCCATATTATTAAATATAATGAATCTGACAGAAGATGTCAAGTGTGTAAAAAAAGAGCAACTTTATTTGTATAAAGTGCGATTGTGGACTGCATCCGAAAGCATGTTTTGACCAATTTCAGACAAAAGTGTGATGTGTTATGAAACCAAAAAAAATACATGTTGTAGTACAAGTTATACTTCAAAAATTTGTATTCCTAATATGAAATGTACCGAAAAGCCAAGTCTTAATAAAAATTTTCTTAAAGTAGATCGGTGGTATTTTGTGCATGGAGTCCCTTTAGAGGGACGGATGTTACCCAAGTATCTGTAAAAGTTAGGAAAAAATAACATGAAAATATTTCTTATTTTTTTACACGTAAACTTACTGTAATGACAAAAATACAAAAATCGTTATTTTTTAACTTCATGCACTAAGGTTAAGTATTCCAATATGCTTCCAATTAAACATGGAACACTTTGAAAATAATGCTTAATAACAAAGTTCGATTTTCAACTGTTAATATCTCCTAGAAATTATCGAAAAAAAAAATTTCAATGTTTGTCTCGTACCTTCTAAGTGAGCCTTTATTACCCGTTAAAAGGAATGATGCGAATTTTGAATCATCCTGTAGGTATTTGAAAATTATTTATCGTGAAAAAAAGGATAGTAGTGAAACAATTGTGCGATGATATAAAAGAGAGCAGATGAAAAGGTATGTGTTTTCACTCTCATGAATCACGCATCAATCGGATAATTAGTTTGTGAGAAATGGAAAAGGCGGAAAATTGGGCGTTTTTTCGAAAATTAATAGCTCCGTCATTTTTTTGAGCTGGAGCACTAAAATTTTGAGAGAAAGTAGGGACTATAATGTTCTTTATATGTGCAGCGGGGTGCTGTCAAATTATTAGTTTTCTCAAAATCGCGAAATAAAGATTAAAAGATTTATTTAATCTATATGGTTGTAAAAAAATAACAGAATATTTCATAGATACACGAATAATTGTAATGTTTATTTTCCAACTT